CAGAAGAAAATAGTTGTGTGTCCAAAGAATAGCGTGTAATGACATTCACAACAAGATGGGTTATCACAGAGTCGTGGTATAACCGAACCATGACAATAGTGTTACAACATCCAGTGGCGAACTAAAGGGTGTGCGGGGGAAGAAAGCGGTCTGCCACAGGTGACCACCAGAAAGGGGGGATCGGAGAGTTGAAATATCAGTACAAGATTTTAAAACCAATGTTATTTCTAATTTGCTTATGACAGCACTGTACTGTTAAAGAATCTACCTGCAAACACAATATATTTTTTCTGTGTATTTACATTTTAAAATTATTTGTGGGGGTGCCAAAGAAAGGATCTGCTCCGGGTGCCAAATAATTTAGGTACACCCCTGATAAGATCTACTCGTTATCTCGGTTTCAACTTGACTTCTTGCCTGACGAGCGATGTCTCGTCTCATAAAATTTGAAGGCCAAGTTCACTTTCACCAAGAGTGACAAACGCAAGACTAAAAACTCAAACAACAAACAAAATTAAATGACAACTTGGAAACAATGTACAAGGAGGAATATGTTCACAACTTGCTGATAATCGGCACCCTACTTGGCGGTAGATTGACGGATATGTCCTTTCTTCCACAAGAAATACTGGAATCTTTGGAGCTAGTAAAAGCTTTTATAATAAGCGAATATCAGCAACTTCTTAAAAGCAAGAAAGAGAAGGAACAAAACCGGCTTGCTGAAGCTGAACTACATTGAGCGTGTCCACTGCTAGATGTTGTTCCCGGGCGAATTGAAATCTGATTATGGAAACATGGATCTCAGAGTCCGCTTGTAAAAGCACGGATCCTAGAGTCTGATTATGGAAACACTGATCCCAGAGTCTGATTAGGGTAACACGAATCCTAGAGTCTGATTAGAGTAACACGGATCCTAGAGTCTGATTATGGAAGCAGGGATCCCAGAGTCTGATTAGGGAAGTTCATATCAAGAGAATAGTAAGGTTTTAAGCCCCAAACGTGACAATAAGGGACAACTTCCGGATCTATGGTGTGTTTGACTTTCTAATGTGATAATGCTAAATGACAATGAAAAAAAATTCAGCAGAGTGTGTAAAATGCTTATCCTGGACAGATAAATTATCAAGAGGTGTCCATCATTGATTCCACTGTTACACGTGTAAAACTATGCACATTTGATATCTAAAATGGGAAACAAATTCCTTGCTTACTACCAGCTTCAGTTTCTTTCACAAGAAAGTTTATGTGCATTCAGTGTGCGTCTGTTCCTAGCGAAATATCCTATACTACAGCTTTGGAACGTCCGCTTCAACCGTGACAGTGTACATACAATTCTATGTAGAAGCCCTGTTCAACTGTGACTGTGTAAAGTGGTATCTCATTATGTTAAAATCCTGGTTAGTAATTTCTGTTAAAAATTATTTGCTGAGACAAGGTTATAGTGCTTCTTTTGCATATCAGTATTGAGTCATTGACCATTTGAAAAAAACGGCAATCTACCAGCCTTTATATAACAGTTGACAATGACAAGTAAACGGAGATAATAAAACGCAATACGCGTAACATATTCATCGTTGAACTTTTCTTTCATTCTATCTCAAATTCGTCCGATATCTGTTAGAAGGAACACGTACAGCTGAACAGACACGAAACTCGCGAAAAGGATCCACTGCATAATTGAGTAATGCACTCGAAGTAATGACATTCTCAAGGTCAGTTTTATTACTTTCTAAATACTCAATATATATAAAAAGAAATAAAACTTAAATGTTCAAAAGCAGACTGACAAAATACCACAGGGACAGATATTCAGGCAACTTAACCTTATAGTTTTTGCGCAAATTTCGTTGTTTGTTTTTTAATTATCATATCATGCACAAATTGCAATGTTTTTCTTTAATTTCTCCGGTTTTTCTGTCTTTCTGACTGACTCCACCTTTTGTATTTTACATTGTTCTTCTTCATTGTATGTATGGTTCTGTGAAGAGAACACGAACTAAAGGGAAAAAAGATACATAGGTACACTTGCACGGGGGGAGGGAATTATCTTCGTCTTGTTAATAAGCAAAATTGGTTCTGTACTTGGAAGAGATAATCTCGCATAATTTTACTATCTGATCGTAAGTAATGAGTACAACACCATACCGGTTAGGCATATGGCAGCCGGGTCTCTTTTCATCTCTAAAATAAAAAAAATAACTTTCAATGTGAATAAGTCCAATATATCATTACGCCAGTTCATACAACATTAAACACGCTTGCATTATCGACATGGTTCATTTATATAATAAGGGGTTACTTGGATCTGTTTCTATATAATTTTGACCTTCGTTTTAACCTCCAAGGGTTGGAAATTTGGCATATCATTTTCCGTGAGAACAAAAACAAGAGCAGTCTTGTAAAATGAAGGAAATAGATGGAGATAACGAGTATAGGCAGATTGCAGATCATTACTGGTACTGTACATTGCAGTCAGGTGGAAAATTGGTATTATTTCTAGAGTTGAAAATGCACTGCCTTCAACCTGCTGACTGATTCCAGCTACAAATGGCATGCCTACAAAATTTGCTATGAGCGAATATTAAGTTTTTTTTTAATAAATTTTCGCACTCAAATATATCAGAATCTTATATGATGTACAAAAATGTTAACCTCAATATACATAGTATTTAAATAACAAACATGTCATTATTCATATTAACAGTGGGCGATTGACAAGGTATTGTTATTTTGTGTTGTTACGCCGTGTGGAGTGGGCGATTGCCATAATATTATTACTTTGTGTTGTTATGCCTGATGCTGACTGTTATGCCTGATGCTGACTGTTATGCCTGATGCTGACTGTTATGCCTGATGCTGACTGTTTTGAATGATGCTGACTGTTTTGCATGATGCTGACTGTTATTATGCCCGATGCTGACTGTTTTGCATGATGCTGACTGTTTTGCATGAAGCTGACTGTTATGCCCGATGCTGACTGTTATGCCTGATGCTGGCTGTTATGTCCAATGCTGACTGTTATGCCCGATGCTGACTGTTTTGCATGAAGCTGACTGTTATGCCTGATGCTGGCTGTTTTGCATGATGCTGACTGTTATGTCCGATGCTGACTGTTTTGCATGAAGCTGACTGTTATGCCTGATGCTGGCTGTTTTGCATGATGCTGACTGTTATGTCCGATGCTGACTGTTTTGCATGATGCTGACTGTTATGCCCGATGCTGACTGGTATGCCTGATGCTGGCTGTTATGTCCGATGCTGACTGTTATGCCTGATGCTGGCTGTTTTGTATGATGCTGACTGTTATGCCTGATGCTGATTGCTATGCACGATGCTGACTGTTTTGCACGATGCTGACTGTTATGCCTGATGCTGACTGTTATGCCCGATGCGACTGTTATGCCCGATGCTGACTGTTATGCCTGATGCTGACTGTTTTGCATGATGCTGACTGTTATGCCTGATGCTGACTGTTATGCCCGATGCTGGCTGTTTTGCATGATGCTGACTGTTATGCCTGATGCTGGCTGTTATGCCTGATGCTGACTGTTATGTCTGGTGCTGGCTGTTTTGCCTGATGCTGACTGTTATGCATGATGCTGGCTGTTATGTCCGATGCTGACTGTTATGCCTGATGCTGGCTGTTTTGTATGATGCTGACTGTTCTGCCTGATGCTGACTGCTATGCCCGATGCTGACTGTTTTGCACGATGCTGACTGTTATGCCTGATGCTGACTGTTATGCCCGATGCGACTGTTATGCCCGATGCTGACTGGTATTCCTGATGCTGACTGGTATGCCTTATGCTGACTGTTATGTCCGATGCTGACTGTTATGCCTGATGCTGACTGTTATGCCCGATGCTGACTGTTTTGCACAATGATGACTGTTATGCCTGATGCTGACTGTTATGCCCGATGCTGACTTTATGCCTGATGCTGACTGTTATGCCCGATGCTGACTGTTTTGCACGATGCTGACTGTTATGCCTGATGCTGGCTGTTATGCATGATGCTGACTGTTATGCCTGATGCTGGCTGTTATGCCCGATGCTGACTGTTTTGCACAATGATGACTGTTATGCCTGATGCTGACTGTTATGCCCGATGCTGACTTTATGCCTGATGCTGACTGTTATGCCCGATGCTGACTGTTTTGCACGATGCTGACTGTTATGCCTGATGCTGACTGTTATGCCCGATGCTGACTGTTATGCCTGATGATGTCTCTCCAACTATTGCAGATACGTGTGCTGATTTTACAGTTGATACTGACGTTCATACTTCTGGAATTTATATTGCTGCTGCGAATACAACTACTTCTACTATTACTACTGCTACTATACTACACACACGAATACAAAGTTTACAGCTACTGCTTTCACACACACGCGCAAACACGCACGCACGCACATGTTTGCCGCCAATAATACATTTCCACTACGTTTAGCACACAGCCGTCACTTTTAAAATGGTAATGCTACAAGCATGTTACGTGTTTACTACACATGCCCACTAAATTTACCGCCACAGTCACAACATCTAAGAGTACTAGACGCATAAAACTTACCGACATCATCACTACATATACAATACTACTACAAAATTCGATATGCTTACCGACACCATCACTACATATACGGCACTACTACAAAATTCGATATGCTTACCGACACCATCACTACATATATAGCACTACTACAAAATTCGATATGCTTACCGACACCATCACAACATATACAACACTACTACAAAATTCGATATGCTTACCGACACCATCATTGCTACAAGCAAACTAATTTTACCACGACCAAAAATACGTCAACAAAAATTGCCACGACTAATATGCACAATGTTTACTGACATAATCACTTTACCTGCAAACAAACTACTACAAACTACGTTTGCCGCTACCATCGCTCGAAATTTTAATACAAACGTTATTTTAGAGCCATCATCACTACACAAACAAATACTGATAATATGCACGTTACGTTTAGGGCTCAGGTGACTTAGTGGTTAGAGTGTCCGCCTCGGATGCGGGAGGTCGTGCTTTCAAATCTCGGCCGAGTCATACCAAAGACTTATAAAAATGGTACAAAAACTACTACCTGCTGAGCTTGACGCTCAGCATTAAGAGGTTAGTGTTAGGACTGGTCGGCCCGGTGTCAGGATAATGTGCTGGGTGGGACATTATGCTACATGTCTGCGGCATGATGCCCCAGTGCTAGACATCACTATAAACTGCCACATTGAAGACATCGTAGCGATATGACTGAAAAATTGTTAAAGCTACTTTAAAACTCCAAATCATACACAAACACATACACACACGTACACACACACATACAAATACTGCTACTACACACATTAAGTTTAGAGCCACAATATTTACAAATACTTATACTCCCACACACGTTCCGTTTTGAGCCATCAACACTAAACGTACAAATGCTGCAACTGTCACACATTACGTATAGTGTCATCATCAACACAGATTAAAGTACTACTAGTGCTAGCATCACTACACCTGCATATGCTTCAACTACACGCAAACTACTGTTACTGACACTTTCACTACACCTGCATATGCTTCAACTACACGTAAACTATTACTGATATTATCACTACACCTGCATATGCTTCAGCTACTCGCAAACTACTGTTACTGACATTATCACTACACCTGCATATGCTTCAACGACACGCAAACTACTATTACTGACACTATCACTACACCTGCATATACTTCAATTACACGCAAACTACTGTTACTGACATTATCACTACACCTGCATATGCTTCAACTACACGCAAACTACTGTTACTGACAACATCACTACACCTCTATATGCTTTAACGACTCGCAAACTACTACATTATCACTGCACCTGCATGTACTTCAACTACACGCAAACTACTGTTACTGACATTATCACTACACCTGCATATGCTTCAACTACACGCAAACTACTATTACTGACACTATCACTACACCTGCATATGCTTCAACTACACGCAAACTACTGCCATTGACACTATCACTACACCTGCATATAGTTCAGCTACACGCAAACTAGTGTTACCGACACTATCACTACACCTGCAGTTACTTCAACTACTTGCATACTACGTTAATCGCCTCTATTACAATTATACCAGCTTTCTTGAACGATAAATAATATATAGAAACTCATATGGCTGAAGTGCCCATTGATAATACATGAGTGAAGTTAGAAGTGTCCCATGTTAACACGTAAGATTAAGGTGTCCAATGTTAACACTTAAGGCTGAAGTGTCCAGTGTTAAAACATAAAAGTGAAGTTAGAAGTGTCGGATGTTAAGATTGAAGTGTACAGTGTTAACAATTACGACTAAAGTTGGGTGGCCAATGTTAACAATAAACTGGGAAGGCTGGACATACAGTTTGAAGGCTGGCGGCACTTTATCCTTCCACGACCTCGGTTGATGTGTGTGTGTGTGTGTGTGTGTGTAACGCCATTTTCATCTCATGATAGAGACTGTACACTACAGCCAGCATAATTGGTGGAGGAAGAACCCGGGGGACAAAAAAAAACAAACCTGAAAAGAATCATCAACCCAGGAGAAGCTTCTGGCAAGCTTTCTCACAGACCCACCCTGGCAGATCCCAATACTAGAACACACAATGACCGATGAGATGCCATTAATATGAAAAGGAGTTAGACCATCCGGACACCCTGACACCCCTGTATGTATGTATGTATGTATGTATGTATGTATGTATGTATGTATGTATGTATGTATGTATGTATGTATGTATGTATGTATGTATGTATGTATGTATGTATGTATGTATGTATGTATGTATGTATGATGTATGTATGTATGTATGTATGTATGTATGTATGTATGTATGTATGTATGTATGTATGTATGTATGTATGTATGTATGTATGTATGTATGTATGTATGTATGTATGTATGTATGTCCTTTCTGGCACGGACCTTTAAAAATCGACCGTTAATTTAGACAACTTAATTCAAAGTCCAATTAAATCATCAACGTTTGTGTCAGCTATCCAAGCGTTACCACTGCGCATCGCATTGTTAAATGCCCAATCAGTAGAACCATCGGAAAAGCGCACAGAAATAGTTAATTTTATCAAGAATCGGAATATCGACGTCTTTTTCTGACAGAAATATGTCAGACAACATCAGACAATGAACCCAGGTGTGCAAATCTAACATGCACCGGTTATTCCATCAAGTTATTCCCTGCAACTCTGGCAGAGGTGGAATTGCTGTAGTTGCAAAGAACTCTATTATCAACCATATTAACTTAATAACAATTTTCATTTTCGAATACAGATCGTTTGAACTAGTCTAAACTACATTCACACTGAAACAAAGGTCAGCCTAATTTTCAGCCTCAATTGCCCTCCTCCTAGTAGAAAAAAAAAACCAAGCTGACAGAATCTCTCTTTTTGGAACAATTTCTAAATCTCCTGGCGTATGGAAATTCGATAGATGGCAACCTATATTCTTGGAGATTTCAACTTTCACTTTGACTGTCCAGAAAACCCATGCACATCGAAACTCCTAGATTCCATTCACGTTTTCAACCTCAAACATTCGGTTAGCCAACCCAACCATAAATACGGTCATAGTTTAGATTGGATTCATTACAGACCTAATGATAATATTCTTCAATCCTCCCTGATGTCCAACGAACTTTCATCAGATCACCTCTGCATTATATGCTATCATGATGTATTAGTCCCCAACCCTCCACCTTTACGGCTACTAGGAGAAACCTCCATAAGATAAACAGAACCAAAGTAATGCATGACATCCAAGCAATCACAACAACAGCAAAACAATTTGATAACTGCCTGCGTTCATGGCTTGACAAACATGCCCCATCAACCAAGTGCAGTGTAGCAATTCAAAAGTGTTCTCCGTGGTATAGCAGTGTTAAGGACCAGCTTTACACTGCTAAAAAAGAACACCCCAAGGCTGAGATGATTTTGCTTTCCACCAACCTCACAATTCATAAGGGGGCAGGGTCCAGTATTTATGTACAAATTTAATGCCGCAATCAGTGACCTAGTACAAAAAATCATAAAAAAAATCAAATACACAAGTGAGGTCAAGAATGTCCATATTTTGAGATACCTATATTAAAACAAAGCATAAAAATATTATCCACTTGACCAGAGAAGTCAGTGGCAGTTCATAGCAGAAGTTTATGCACCCCAACCCCAAATTTATACATGCAATTTTCATGTCCGAAGGTCATTTTTGACACCATGTGGTACTCACAGTGCAAACACAAGCCCTTTTCCTAGATTACAATTCTGCCAAACAGTGTGTACTAAACAGGCTGATGCAGTTGAAAATAGTTGTCATCCAAGCCGTTTTTGAGATATGCTCCTTGTCCCAAACCCACATGTTTACTGTTACGAGAGGCTAGCTCTTCTTCGTAGACAACTATTGGTATTTCACTATCAACATATTGCAGAGTAACTATGGAAGGTGTACATGCCTGACATCAATTTCAAGAGCAACACAAGCCCGAAACACCTAGCTCACAAATATATCCATATATTTAATTAGTAGACAATAATTGCTGAAAAAGTCACACCATAGCCTTAAGTTAAGAAATTTGCCAGGGGCCAAAATACGAAACTGTACCCTGCCTCCTTAAGAATTTGGGTCAAAATGGTTTACGTCACAAGTTGTGTATATGTCACATATTTAGACATTATCTAGTACAATGATATAGAGGAAAACCTTTTGTGTGCAAAATTAAAAATGGTATTACGCTTTTAGGAAAGTGACTACTTTGCTGCAAAAAGCATTGCATTATTTACATTGTGAGTTATGACTGATTGCATTTCTTGAAAGATTTCAAATTGTTTACAAACTTCAATGATTTTCTCTTTGTTTACCACCACAGCATTAGGACAGAATCAAAATTCCTTTACAATCTTTCATGAATGTCAAGAAGAGGTTTGGAAGTTATAAATTTTAGGAGTAAATGACAGAAATGCAATGTTACTTGTCAGTGACAGAAGTGAAAATTTTCTATAAACCCGTCTAGCAAACATAAAGAAATCACACATTTAAGTTAATAATGTGCTTTGGAAGTACTTTTAGACTGATATAAAACAAGCAGTTCCTAACCTTTCATTATTATTCTGGAGATCCTAATAGAAGCATCAATGTTGTGTGAGTGTGTGTTGGGGGGAGGGGGTAATCACAACAACAATCTAGCTAATCTGGAAAGATCAAAGTTTAATCAATCAACATTAGACCATGCTAGAATATTAACATACAGATGTGTGGACCCAGTTAAACTTACAAAGGGACATATCAAATAACTTCATTGATACATAGCCACTGAAATTGACCATACATATACAATTACTCAATACAAGTTAACAGAAATCTCTTCTCAGACACCAATTCACTTACAACTGACTTTAATGATTTCTGCAGTTTACAAAATCATAGTAAATAATAAGAGAAGGTATAGAACAAATATTTACAGTGGAAAATTCAGTTCAAGGTAAAATGTATTTCACTTGCTTGGCTTTTAATAAGCACATACCATAAAACAACTCCTGAGGAAGTTAAATCTATCCGTCAAAGTCTCTCTCTTGTGCACATAGAACAGAATGAGTATCTGGATGAGATTCAAGCTATTGTTTCTTTCAGCATAACTAACCGATTAATCCTGATCTTCTACCATGCAAATTGAGACCTGCAAAAAGAAAAGTATCAAGTGATATTGATGTACTTTAAACATTCAATGAAAACTATAAGAATTTCAGAGGAGAAACTGTATGTGTAATGTCCAAGGCATGAAACTGCCACTTGATTTTAAGCTTTTCCCCTTTGTTAACTGAACCTAGAAATTTCAAGATAGATATATAACACTGAAACATTTTCTATTATCACCCAAGTGTGAGATATGAACCTCATGTCAACTTCACAATGGGCTCATGAAGGTTGAAACTATGTCGGAGTACTAAAACTTTCATTCTTCTCACCAAAATATAGCAAGCGATATGCCATATGCATCATTAT